GGGGGGGGGGGGGGGGGGGGGGGGGGGGGGGGGGGGGGGGGGGGGGGGTAAGTGGATCCTTAACTCGCTCAATGCGACAGTCGGGGTGAGAGGCATCCCTCATCGTGGATGCTCGCGACGTACAAGTGATTAACGGGGATCCAATGACCATAACAATGAATCTGATTTTCGGAGAACCCTCGGATGGCATCACCTATCCTACTGTCTAGTCAAATTTGCATCACTCGTGTGCTTATTTCAATTCGACATTCAATTTCCGAGTTTAATTGGGATGTTTCAACGAAACATTTCAGTTGGGCTTGGGGCTTCTTTTATTAGGTGTAAAAAGTCGAGATGTATACATAGAAAAACACTAAACGTAAATTACGTTTTGCTAAGGGCTATTTACGGTTTGCTGAACGCAATTTACGCTTAATGTCAATGTGATCTCTAGTAGGTTTTTCCGTCATGAAAATCGTAATTTAGGCTTTAAAAAGGCGGATTTTATGGTCAAGATAAAAACGTAAATTACGGACAAACAAAGCGTCTTTTACGTTTCGCTAGGGTTATTTGACGCTTAAGGAATCGTAAATTACGAGTTTAATAGAAATGTATTTTACGATTCACTTATGCGTACACCCAGGAAAATGATTCATTTCAATCAAATAAAGTTTATTGAAATAGTACCAAATGAAGTTTTTTCTCAAATTAAATAAGAATTTTTATTCGAAGTTCTGTTTATATTCAATAAATGTTTTTACTCTTAATAAATCTTTTTTTGAATCAAATAAATTTTCAAGTTGAACTGAATAAATATTTATTTAATACTAATAATATATTATCGCTTTGAGATGGTAATAAACTCAAAAAAGATTGAACGAAAAGCATGCAATAATTATTAGGGGCTGTACATACATCACGTAAGACATTTAGGGGGAGGGGGGGGAGAAATTTCTATTCCATGGTTTCACTACCGGGGAGACGATGTTCATAAGGTAAATTTCACTCATCAATAAAATTCATAAAAATTGAATCGGAATGATTCTAGAGAGCTCAAATCGTCTAAATTTCATGTTTCCTGAATTAAATTCGTATGACCTTTTTGCACATAGCCAACGAATATTGTTGCAACACACTTTCGAAATTCTTTCACAAAGTACATAAAAATATCATTTTCTTAGAATAAGAAAATTATTTGTTTCAAATGAATA